TAGAAGGTAAGTGTTTCTAATGATGTGGCCGGTGAGCATAGGTAGAAGGCAGGTGTTTCTGATTAAGTGGCCAGTGAGTATAAGTGCAAGATAGGTGTTTCTAATAAAGTGGCCAGTGAGTGGAAGTAGAATGTATGTGTTTCTAATAAAGTGGCCAGTGAGTGGAAGTACATGTAAGGTGTTTCTTATAAAGTGGCCAGTGATTGGAAATAAAAGGTTGGTGTTTCCATTAAAGTGGCCGTTAAGCATATCATTATACATATTCACATTCATCAGCTCCTCCATGCTAAAGCTAGGCCCATCCTTATCTTCCTTATTTTCAGCTCCATATACATTGAAAAGGCGAGCTTTGGCAAGAAATCTCACACGCCACAGAAATAAAAGTGTGGAGGAAGTGTTGCAGAGGAGTATGTGCAACTGTGACCCACAAAGCACTGAATTCTTGCTATGAGTAGTATTTTTCTTCTACTGCCATGGTGTATATTTAGTGCAGTGTTGAGGGGGGTTAGAGGTACTGCATTCTGTCTGAGAAAGCTTTCAGAGGAGCCTCTTAATTTTTCATGAAAATGTGCTTAAAAAAGATGGAGACAAAGTAACAAGACAGGATTTCCCTCAGGCTACAGCACAGACTCCACCAGCTGGCTTTCTTTCTGTGTGCTCGTGTATTTTGGCACAGGTCACCTTTACTGTGAGATGTGGAATGTTCCTGTAAGCGTTCACCGGCATTTCAGTGTGTGTGTGTGTGTGTGTGTGTGTGTGCGTGTGTGTGTGTGTGTGCATGTGTGTGTGCGTGTGCGCGTGCGCGTGTGGGTGGGTGGGTGGTCAGTTGTTTGTAGCTGATGTTGTTCTGTTTGTGTGGGTGAGGCTTATTCCCTCCAACAGGCATTATTGCCTTCAAATCCCGTAGAATAAATCAGCGTTTTCTTCCTCTTCTCATTAATGAAGGATAAAAATAAACTAAAAAAATCCCTCAGAAAATAAACAAGACAAATGCCCTTTTCAGCCTGTTTGCATTGCAGAATTTCCCCTCTTGAGACTAATTGGTGCCCTCTGATATCCTCTGAGTTCACGATGGTGATCAGAAGACCCGTTTGAGCGCTGAGACAAGGCCGATGTTGTGACCTTTCAGGCCTCTCTGTCCACCCCCGCTCTCAGCACAGCAGCAGTGCTACCTAACAACACCCTGATTCACCCTGCAGATTCACTCTTCATGACATATCCACCCCCGGTAGCCAACTGCAAGATTAAAGGGCCCATACACTACATTTTCTTGTATTTGTTCCCTCTGATGTTCACTTACAATATTTTTCGAAGGTTTATGTACCAAAACCAGTCATAATTCATTTTTACATTTCCGTGACCATTTCCACCCTCTCTTTATCACTTAGAATTAAACCGGCTGCCTTTCTTACTGTGCCGTTAAAGGGAAATTCCACCAATTTTCCAAAATATCAAAAATCATTGAGAACATTAACACAAATTAATTCAGAGTGGTTTGGTGTGAAATGGTTGATTGTAGAGACTCAGATTTCTTTACAGTGGTGGTGATAGGAACCAGGGGTCGCTATGACTACAACACAAATATAACCATTTTATTTACTATCCAAAACCACCAGTGAACCTACACGAGTCTTCTGAGCTTTATATGTAATGTTGATGATGGTAAAATAGTGGCAAATCTGAAAATAAATCTGAATGTTTATCTTTGGGGACTATTTTACTTTCCAGTGCTGTGCATGTACCTCTCCACCATGAATGATATTTAAGGCCAAAATCTTATTACAAAACTATCATAAATTATTTAAATATTCATAACTATTTCATGTAACAACATTAAACTCTTCAGACGTCTGGCTGTCATCACCACCACTGTGAACAATTCCCTGTAAAATTGATCATTGTGTTCACTGTTTTTACATCTTAACCATTTTATTATGCAGAAATTTTGAAAAATCAGTGAAATTCCTTTTTAAGACTGATGCATCTAGATGACCTCTAATTGCCTGCCTCTCATCTGGGCTGCAACGCTCCTTATAACTTCAGCATTAATGGGTTGAGCTTAACTGCTGTAGGCCAAATAGGCGGTTATATGTAAATAAGTTGCTTTTTGTGGCATCACAAAAGAACTGAATTTAAAACAGGCTGTTTTTCCAGCTTAGTTTCCATATATGGACTGACAAGTGAACATTTAAAAACTTTTATTTAAAAAAAGGGCAAACAAGACGAAAAAGGGAGGTTTTCCATGATATGGATTCTTTATCTTATTTATATTAGCAGTTACCAGTCCCAGTCATGAGGAACCCATGCTCTGAACATTTTTGTGTTTTTCTGCTCTAACATATGTGACTCAGCACACAAAGAGCTCATTAATCAGTTAATGAGTTGAATTAGATTGGAGGAAAATAAAAAATATTCAGTGCATGGAGTCCCTGAGACTGAGATTTGCTTACATTGTAGATATTTAATAAGATATATTTAACTTGTTGTGTTTAAAGGAGAATTTCACCAATTTTTCAAAATTTCAGTATAATTCAACAATACGTTTGAAGTCCTTTCTTGAAATATTTCAAGAAAGTAAGAAAAATTCACTTTTCCATAAAATGGGGCCTTTAAGGGGCAAGTCTTCCCATAAAGCACTTTGTAGAATCAATAGACACAGTATAGTTCTCATAGACTTCTATATGTAATCTGGCCACAGGCATCAGGCCATGGGCATCTGCTGATCTCTCTTGTTGAGGCTGATGTTCTAAGTGGCGATCTGGTGTTTAGCTTGGAATGTCAGATTGTGGACATGTCTCCAGAGGAAAGACAGCAGAGCAGCACAGCTCACACAAACTGTTCTCCTGTAAAAATCAGCCAGCCTGAGGGGACTGTTTCACTGCCATTACTGCAGCCTCAGCCCAGCTCCCACAGGAGATTATACTGGAGCTCTGTTAGATCTCATCACCCTGCACATCACTTACAGCAGTGGCATTTCCCAGGACAGTCCTAGTCTGGGCTTTTTCTCAAATATTGTGTATGTGTCCCTTATTAGAGTAAGAAAGCTTCACTAGCACAGAATATGCATGTCTGCTCGTCCTGAATTTCTGATTTCAATAAATTGTGAATGAAAAGCTAAACTGGCATGTCACTTTGCATGCGCTTTCAGCCATATTTGAGGTCTGCTTGAAGAAGATGGGGTTCAGTGCTGGAGCACAACAGCCTGCAGAAAGTAATGTTTTTATTATACAACATGTCGTCAAAAATATGTGGACTCCCCTCCTAGTTAATGAGTTCAGGTGTTTCAGATACACCTATTGCCAACAGGTGTATATAATCAAGCACATAGCCATGCAATCTCCATAGACAAACATTCTATCGGTTTGTGACATTCATTTTTGCTCAGACAGCAGACATAGAAAATTGAAATTAGTGCACTAATAAAAGCTTGATGGATAGCTGTCGGTTGAAATTACTTCCAGAGTTGAAGTTGAATGGTTGCTCGGGGGGTCCCATACCTCCCCTTAGAGTAAAGAGACTCCCCATAATAGAGCCAAAATTGAGCTTGGGTATTCCTGACAAAATGAATGTCCTCACACAAGGTGACCATCTTCTTTTACTACTTATGGGCTTCACCAAACCTACCTAGACCACCAAGCCTACTAAATCATTTTTTTTACTACCCACTACCCACATACACATAAGACACCCCCGGTCAAACAACATGTTTCTGTTGATTTTCTAGGTGAAAATAAGTTCACACATCCTCTACAGAGAACACACTTCTGCACATTTTAATACACAATTACTGATTATTTACTGAACTTACCATATTGAAAAAAAAAAACATAAAATGTAGCCTGTACGAAACTATGCCTTATTTATTTATTTATCATTTTCAATATGTAAAACTCAGCAAATTAACAGAAACTGTGCACTAAACTTGGCAGAAAATTGCCATGTTTATGTTTTTTTTTCTTTGCACAGAATATGTTCATTTATTTTCACTTAGAAAATCAAAAAAACATGTTATCTGACCAGGGATGCACACAAACGTCTGCATACAACTGTATGTATTTTCATGAATTAACTGAGAATGTAACCGATGACATTGTCAGCTTGTAAGTCATAAAGAACTTGAAGCACCACGGTCATATGACATGTTTTGTTGATTTTCTAAATGAGACTTAAGTTTGCACTTCCTCTACACATTTTAAGTTACTGTTTATTTACTGAATTTAAGATACTGGACAAAAAAGAACATAAATGTGGACTGTGCAAAAATTATGTCACATATATCATATATTTTCCAAAATGTTAAGTTTGCTCCTGGTGCAAATTTATGTGTTAACCATGTGTGCTAGGTGGAGCAGATATGTTTTGATTTATATTATGTAAACCACTGATCAATACATAAGTCACCTCATAGACAGACCTCCCAACAGGGGACCCCTACCCCCCAGACCTCTTTCACAATTTCAACCCTGATCATTACGCTCAGTATAAAGATGGCATACACAGTTTATTTTTGGAGTTAATGCCATGCGTTTATTTCCATCACTGTTGCAAAACGTGGAGATTTGCACTTTCATTGGAACCTGTTTCTCCTTCAAGGAGTGATTAACGCGGAAGCAAATACACGGCCTTGGACCCTCATAAAAAAAAAAAAACACAGAATAAGCCACTCAATACCATTTTATAAGAGCTTTTAGACAGTGTAAACAGAGTTATTTATTTATTTATTATTTATTTTTTAGGAGTGTGCATGTTTTGCTTCTAATAACAATCTAAGATTTTGACACGTTCAATTTTTTTCCCTCCTTTCCTCCATATCTAACTGCAAAAAGATAATAAGTAAAAAAACATTCAGGGATTGTTCAGGAGAATCTAATAATCAATAATCAGAAGGCTAATTTAATTACATGCCAATATATTAGTCTTTGATAGTGGGCCTCTGTAATGACTATTAGGTCAACACTGATTAATTTAACCTATATAATAATATTACTTTTTTAAAAAATAACAACATCTAAAACCATTTTGAAAAAACAGCAGGTCATCTGGAAGGTTCAGGAATAAATACACATATATAATACATATTAATATATACTGTGTATATTCATATTTATATGTCTATATCTTATATGCAGATAGCTTTCATTCCTTGTTTAGTCCCTGTGCTATCCACAAATTTATGGCCTTAGTAACTGGGGTTTGTGGTGGTCCCCACATGTGCTCTGATCACGAGTGACTAACACTGTAAAATTAAAGGCTGACAGTACAATACTATGGGTCTGCTATTGTTCCTATGCAGTAGATTGCAGTGCTCCTTACAGCTTTACATACAGAAATAGCTATTTCTTTCCCCACTGGACCAACCACAGAGCCATGATCAGAAGTGTTACATGTTTGCAGATAATACATCTCACAAAAATCCTAAAATCTCAGTTTTTTTTTTTCCCATGTGGCCACTGGCGTGCTGAAGTTTTGAAGTAAGAGCGAAAAACAGTATGCAGTTTGACAGAGTGGTCTGAGAAAAGGTGCGTCGATGGCTTATACAGTCTCTGAGTGTTGTGTCTTGTTTAGTCGTTTAGTCCAGTCCTCTTGCCGTGCCGGGGCTTATCCCACGCCTCTTCGCCGCTGTGTGACCCTCGCTGCTGTGTGTGTGCTCCAGGGTGCATTAGCCGTGGTTACAGTGGCAGGCGAATGTGCATGGCGGAGCTGTTGGGCCGAGCAGCCAGGATGTAGATGGCGCTCTCACGCAGAAACGCGTCCCACGTCACCGGCCTGAAAAACACGCAAAGAAAGTGTAGAACACTTTCAGTCTTGACAGACAAATGCTGTCAGTAAAAGGGTCATACTAAAGAACTAAAGAACATATTCTGTGTAGTGATGAATCACGCTTCTCCAGCAGGCAGTCTGATGGACGAGTCTGGGTTTGGCGAATGATAGGAGAACATTACCTGCCTGACTGCATTGTGCCAACTGTAAAGTTTGGTGGAGGAGGGATAATGCTATGCTGTAGGGTTGTTTTTCAGGGGTTGGCCTAGGACCCTTAGTTCCAGTGAAGGGAAATCTTAATATTTCATTATACCAAGATATTTTGGACAACTGTATGTTTCCAACTTTGTGGGAACAGTTTGTAGAAGACCCTTTTCTGTTCTAGCATGACTGAGCCCCAGTGCACAAAGCAAGGTCCATAAAGCCATGGCTGGGTGAGCCAGGCCCTCTCATCCAAGATAAGTGTCTGACCTCACAAATGCGTTTCTGGATGATTGGGCAAAAATTCCCACAGACAGACTCCAAAATCTTGTAGAAAGCTTCCCAGAAGAGCGGAAGCTGTTATATCTGCAAAGGAGGACCATCTTATATATATGGATAGATAGTTACAACATAGCACACTCTCCTTACAGACCTGTTGTCGTATTTCTCCATGGCTTTGTCTCTGCTCTTGTCACTACTGGAGCTGGCTGGGCTGCTCTCTGATATTGGGCCGACGTGGCTGATACTGCAGGGAAGAAAAACAAGTTAAAACACGACACATTCAAGCACAGTCTGCTCCATCACTCTGTTTCTTTTCTCTCCCTCACACACACTCACGCGCACTGACAGGGTCACTGAACACAGCTCAGGGTTTCATTTCTAGACAGTTATTCTTTTGTTTACTCACAGGCTTGACAGGACCTGCCATAACAGCCTACACAAATTCTAAACAGCTAGCATTCGCTACACGTATATGCTTTCGTGTATATATTCAAACTTCAGTTCCACAGTAAAAAAAACTGTTTAAAAAAACAATGAAGAATTCAGACTTTAGATATTTACAAGATTATATTCTGATTCTGTAGGCTTAAAATAAAAAGGGGTCACTAAAGCATAAATACAGCACAGTTTGGCTTTTTAATATAAAAGGTTGTACAAAATAAGATACATATAATAAGAGAACAAATAACAGATGGAAAAAAGTGTGGAATAGTATGTGTATGGTTTTTGTTTGTAAGGGATCAACTGTTCAAAGCTGTTTGCTAGTCATGTACTGGCTAGGAATTTTATGAGTTCTGCTCAAAATGAGATAAAATTGTCAAAACTGAAACATTTAGTTAAGATTCAGTAGCGTTATAAATGTTTTGGTAGTGAAAAAATGGAGTGTTCAATTGTTTATTTTAACAGAATATACAGTACATAATTAAGGTATATGGTCATTCAAAGCAAAGGGATTTTAGTCTAAAGTCCAAGTCAGTTAAGTCTGAAATGTGTTTTCAACTCTAAAGTGGGAACTTTACAGGAGAAAGAAAAAACATTCTTAACTTGGAATTGAAGTTAATGTAGCAAGATATGTTTTTTTTACTTTATGTACTTTTAGACTATTTCTATTTCATTCATCATGGAATTTTAACACAAAGCAAAAGCTTTCTGGAATTTATTTATTATGCAAAATGACAAAAACAGAGATACAACAATTTTGAGCAACAGCTATAATGTGTGTGTGTGTGTGTGTGTGTTGTTTTAGACGCATCCATAATCAACAGCGATCTGAATGTTTCTGAAATGAGAATCTGTACAGAAATGTATATATTTGCGTTAATTGATGCATGTATATATAATAAAATGATTACAGTCAGTGGTGTGTGATGTTTTCAGAGCAGATAAAGTAGGTCAGTGGTAGAAGGTCTTAAGCTCCGGGCATAAGCCCAATTCAGCACAGGTGGTGGTCAACACAGCTTTAATAATATATCATCATAGTCTGAAAAGATGTTTTATCATTAATACAACATCATTTCACACATTACTACAGATAGGGTACTATAGTTATGTGTAGTACACAGTGCTCCATTGCTGATGTGATAATTTTGTGTATAGATATCAGTGTTTTAAAATCGAATGTGCATGTGTGCATAAGCCACTTAATGTGTTCACATGGAGGCAGAAAGTGAGTTGAAAAACATTGATTACTTAGCGAACGGTGAGTCTATGCCATTGCATTCAAAGCGCCTTACTTGGTGCATGATCTTGTTTGTTGTATGTCTATATAATCAGGGCTTAACTTGTGAATCATACATTTATTTCCTACAAACAGCATATAAAATAATGAAATGCGGAGAAGTTAATTAAAAAGCAGCATGCTGTGCCACGGTGCACACTGACTTTCACTTTTAGTTCCTGCTTGGGTGTAAAAACAACACCTGTAAAATACTGTTTATCACTCGCAAATGTGCCACGACTGCTATGACTGTTCATTTCTCAAAAGAGCTCAGAACGAACAATTAAAAAGCTTAAAGATTCAAAAGAATTTATTTTAGTGCTATATAGAACACCTTTCAAAAAGTTCTATATAGAGCCATATAAAACACACTCTCCATCAATCTGTAGAAACCTTTCATGATGCAAAGAACCTTTTAATCATTCAAAGCATTCTTTGAGTCTATATAGAACCATTTACTTTACTAAAGAACCCTTTAAGAAATTTTTTATTTTTTTAAATTGGTAGTTCCTCATTCTGGTTCCGGAGAACCCATGTACTGAATTGATGTTTTGTTCCTGCCTCCAACTCCCAATTTAGACAAGTTCAAGCACTTTTTTTATCATATTGACTGTGTTGTACCTTATTGACATATTGAATAAGGGTGTAACAGTATACAAATTTCATAATATGATATGTTTTGTGAGTCCAGGGTGTATCCTGCCTTCCGCCCAATGACAGCTGGGATAGGCTCCAGCACCCCACCGTGATCCAGAAGGATAAGCGGTTTAGATGATGGATGGATGGATGGATATGTTTTGTGATTTTTGCACCACATTTTGATACATTTTCAATACAGAAATGAAATGTCAACACTGATTTTACATCTACCTTTTCAGTCCGAGTTCCACTGCCAAAACAAGAACGCATCTAACAAAATGAAACTGTGTTCGATTCACGGTGCACATCTTCTCACAATCTCCATAAAACGAATATTAATATGCATATTCTGACACTTCTAGTAGGTCTTGATAACTTTCATAATATTTACATAGCACTTCTAACTCTTTTACAAAAATACAAGAAAATAAAATCCCACGAAATCTTTGAAACGAGCATGTTTTGAACATTAAAATGTGCAGTGCAGGTCATCACTTTAAGTGTGAATCTGCCACTCTGTAGTGAAACAGTGCCCTGTAAACAAACCTAAACAGCCTCTCCAGACTCCTCTCTTTCATCTTCAGCATTCAGCTGATTTTAATGAGCACATATTAGAATGAAATCTTGTTTATGGAAAGTGGAGGCCAAACGCACAGAGCCGTTTAACCTGCAGTGCCCATTTAATCAGATGAGAGATGTTCCTAAGGGCTTCTCTGAGGAGAACAAAAGCCTCTTGTTTGATCCTGAAAATGGAAAGGTTGGGTCAGCTTTAGCTAACAAAGCCATAAGGACCAACAGAGAGATGCTGAGAAAAGCGATGAGGATGAGGATGAGGAGGATGATGATGGTAATGATGATTAGAATGATTAGAGAAAGCACTCTTCCTTTTGTTTTTAATACAAATGTTCACTTGTTTGTTTTTGCTGTCATAGGAAAAACTTCACAAAGTTTTTTGGAGAAATAATAAGTACAATGTTCTTAACTTCACTGTACATCAGTGAGTGTGTTTACATGCACTTAATAATCCGATAACTGCAGAAAATCAGGTTTTGTCAGTAATTCGATCAACACCTTTACACGCTCTTGGGCAATCAGATAATGGGGAAACTCCAGGTCTACATGAGTCAGACAGTAATCAGATAAACTCACAGAAGAAGACATGACATAGTCGTAACAGAAAAATAATGCCGTGGCTTTTTTTTAAAACATCGCACCACTTTACCTGAAAATATGTACATACATCATCTGTAAGATGAAGAATATTTAAATCCTTTATTTCATCAAGCATCGCTCCAAAAGTTTTTTGCTTCCATCTCACACCAATGTTGCTTGCTTATTTCCAGTACCACAGTCTGTTTTTGCACATGCGCAGACTGAGAAAACCGAAATCTGATTACTGAACTAAAATCCAGCTCTCTTTTGTCAGATTTTATGACACCCTGTCTACTCATTTTCGTGATTTTCTTGTGACTGTTAATTGTAAGTTTTGCGATGTTTAACTGTAAGCTGGTGGAGAAAGAATGCTCTAAGTATTTTCTGTTGAGAGATTTTTTTAATTATATTTTTCTTCAGTTAAGTTTGAGCTGGGTGGGACTAAATTTGGCACAAGTGATGTCACATCTGTCAATGTACCAATCAGAGCCAGCGCTGTATACACTGTATACTCATGTTCCTCTCCATCACATGCAGTGACCTCTGCATGTGATGGAGTTCTCAGACAAAACTCTCAGCGAGTAGCTTATTTAAGGTTTTCTAAACCTGCTGCAGGGTTCTACTATAAGTGCTTAACTTCATCTACAAGAACGTGATTAATAGCAGTCTACCTTAACTGTAACCCCGCCAAAAAACACACAGATCAAGGCTCACACTGTTGTGTACAATTGTACTTTACAGGTGTAATGCACAGCAGGCCACATGAGAAATCACTCCACAGTGTCCGCAAACATGACCGACTCATAACGGCAGCTTATGTGGTCTCAATTTTCAAGAGCGCGGTCCCAGTTAGCAAGCTGGATAGGTCACGGATATAACATTGTTGCTGACCATTCAAAAATCAGACATGATGCCCATGATCTGCCAGTCATAAGATGAAAACTTGAGTTCAAGAACATTTGCTGCAAAATGCAATTAGATCTCTGAAAAAATGACCATTAGCCATCTTATTTTCCATTTTGCACTCACCATATAAAGGGCAGTGGAGTAGAGTGAAGTGGTCTACTTTTCTGCAAGGGGGCTTGAAAGTGTAGGGCTGAACACTGTTTGGCAGGGTTGCTTAGCACTGCCACTGGTGCTGGGCTTTTTACACTGCCTTTGAGATGCCACCGTCAATCATTTTGCCTTCTGACACGCCCACACAGTTCTGAACAGGCAGCAGCTCAAAGTTTTTGGAGCATTTATCTACTCTTAAATTGCATTCATTTGGATATTAATATGTATTTATTGAAAATAACAGTGGTAAATGTTTTTACCGCATCATATCTCTACTGTCAAAAACCAAAAATTCACACATTTGAAACTATGTTGAGTGAGACTATGTTAAATAAACCTATTTTTGCAGGTTAAGAGTGGCTTAGTATTCTGAGATAAGCAATTTTAACAACCAAAGTAAATCTGAAATATTTCTATTACGCAAAATAGTAAAAATAAAACTGAACAGTAGATATATAAACCTATGCTAATGTTTCTTTCTAACACTAGCCCCACGGATCTGGCAAAAACAGTGCTAAATGTTTGCTGGGGGCTGAAGATGAAGATTCTAATTCACCAGCTTTTTGTTTGAATTGTCTGTTCTACCCTAAATGGAGCGGTTACAGGCACCTGAATGTAACTGCTGCACTATTTAAGGTGGAACAGGAATTTCAAATAAGAAGCAAACTTCATCTTCATTACATTTCCCAAATCATTTGTCTCATACATGCATCCTGTACAGTCACCCCTCTGACCATCAGCAAGGTGTGAAATACAGGGGGTTCTGGGGGGGTCCAGGATCCCCTAATCAACCTCTTGGGCCCCCTGAGTACCACAAAATCAAAATTCTGGGGTGTCTCTAAAAAGAAACTTATTAAGACGTTATGCTGTCTGTTCGGAAAAAAATACCCTCTAATACAAATTCAGGGAAAGGTCATTGTTTAGCTTCTTCACTCATAATCAGCAAGCTTCTGACTCTGGTATTCTTACTAGGGATGCAGCACTGGTCTGCCTCAGGGTGGCGCTGTAGCAAATTGGTTCGCCCAGTTGGTCCACAGCCTAACAACTGTAACTATGTCCAGGATTCCTCTGAAAAACTTTGTAATATACTGTAGCATATTTGTAAATCAGAAGACCTGCCCAATTTCCCAAGAGACTGGCAGAAAGAATGAACTCTTAGTCATTTCTCAGACTGAAAACAGAAGAGGAGATGTGCAAAATCTTCTCAATGTGTGGAAGTTACCAAACTAGTGAAGAGCATTTCCAGTAGGAGAATGGTTAAACCAAACATTTTGGTTCCATTAAAGCTAGCATCAGAGCCACTATGGCTAGTGAGTTAGCAGCCAGTCAGTGCTGGAGTAGCCAACATGGGACCCCTTGAATACTAGGGAGTATTTTGCATACTGATCAGACACTGCTGGGATTTGGATAATATTACAGTCATTCACGTTTCAGTTCCAGCAGGTCTACAGCAATCTGTTCACGTTAGGCTAAGGCTAATCCCAAATGGCAGGCCATATCTTTATGTTCCTTCCTGCCTCAGAAACAAAGTGAACTGGACCAGAAAGCGTGGGTGATTAAGGGGCTGCTGAAACATCCCTGACTCAGTCATTCAGCTAAATGGTATAAAGTTAGTGTGGTTTGCATTACTTGTAGGTTGAGTTATCTTCTCTTATTTGTGGCACACCGGTATAATAGTCATGACAAAACTTACACTTGAATTTTGGTACAAGTCTGGTATACTGGACGCATTTTACCAGTATACCAGCTAAACTGGTATACCACCCACTACTAATATGAGGACAAACTGGGGCGTATCTATGACAACTTATATGAAAGTTCAGAACTGAAGCACATTTGTTAATTGATGAAGGATGATAGTTTCTTGAATTAGACACCATCTTGAGCACAACTTTGATGAACTGGGAGCCGTTGTGAACCAATCAGCATTTTGCAACTGCTGGGCTAACTGGTCACCACTAGTTTTCACATGTTAGCCATGTTAGCTACACTTTAACATTTTCCAACAAGTTTGTATACAATGGAAGCTCATGCTGATTGTGACTTACCCCATATTCACTATAGGGGAACACAATCCCATGAGTCTGTGCGGGAAACACACATGCAGTAGCCACAATGAGGATGGAAAGATGGATGACAGCAGTGAGTGAGCATGGAAGACAAAAGCAGCAGAAAGACATTATGGAGAGAAGCAAAGGCTGATTCCAAAACAGCTCCTGAATTGACCAACAGGGGCAGATTTACTAAAAGAGGCACTAATTACTGACCGTCTTAAGACACTTTGTCCTGGTGGGGGCCAATTTAGCAGCTTATCTGCTAAAAACTTCCATGCACATGAACATTGAAAATTAAAGCTTGTTTTTACCAGATTACAAAGAATACAAAGAATTTTTTTTGTCCAAATTAAATCTGGTTCCATTTTTGATTTCATGGTCGAAATAATGACCCTTTTTTCCTGAGATGTTGACTTAATAAGTCAAAATTAGTGAACAATAATAATTAAGTGAAAATTATTGTTATCACTCATCAAGAAAGTACATGATAATACATAATATGTACTTTGATAGTGTTGTAAAATTTACCAAACTTTTTAGGAAAAAGCAGCTTAAAATATATTTTTTCTAAAACTTTTTGGCTTTGTATCATACAGTCAGTCACTATCAGTCTTGGTAAATGGGAGTATTTTATTATACTAATCTCCTCCCAGTAAAGTTTTTTATAAATGCATATTGTCACTGTCCAAAGAAAAACATGTATTTCCAAAGTAGTAACTTTACAGGAGAGGGCAAAACTTTCTTAACTTTTAATGTAAAATAATGTAAAGCATTTTTCATTCCAGGTGATTTTGGAGCACTTCTGTTGGTCCGCTCATCATGACATTTTCACACAATGTAAAGGACAACGGCTGGGTTCAAATTATACAGAAATATAAAAATGACAAATATGGAGATACATTTTTTTTTCCTTTTTTTCCTTTTTTCCTTTGGACAGCATCAACATGCCAATAGGTATAAAGCACAAAAGAGCGGTGACCACCCCTTTGGTCTTATTATAGACACTAAAGGGCTGCTGCTCCTATTTAGTATGTTTTAACAGCCAAAAAAGGACTGAAAGCGTTTTGTCAGAAAGCGTTAGTAAATCTGCCCCACAGTGTCCCAACTAACATGTACAGTGGTGCTTGAAAGTTTGTGAACCCTTTAGAATTTTCTATATTTCCGCATAAATTTGACCTAAACTTCATCAGAAGTCTTAATAGTAGATAAAGAGAACCAAATTGAACAAATGAGACCAAAATTATTACACTTGGTCATCTATGTAATGAGGAAAATGATCCAGTATTACATATCTGTGAGTTGTTGTATGTAAGCCTTTAGGATTAGCAGATAATTTGAAGGTGAAATTTGAGTCAGGTATCAGGTTTCGATGAATGGGATGGCAATCCAGTGTGAGTCACCACCCTGTTTTATTTAAAGAACAGGGATCTATCACAGTCTGATTTTCACTACACATGTTTGTGGAACTGTATCATGGCATGAACAAAGGAGATTTCTGATGACTTCAGAAGAAGAGTTGTTGATGCTCATCAGACTAGAAAACCCTAGAAGACCGATCCACAGTCAGGCCCAGGCGTGGTCGACCAACAAAGATCACACCAAAAGCAAGGTGTGTAATAGTCAGCGAGGCCGCAAAGGAACCCAGGGTAACTTCTATGCAACTAAAGGCCAGTCTCACAGTGGCTAATGTTAATGTTTATAAATCCACCATCAAAAAAAACATTGCTGCCTGTCTGCAGTTTGCTAAAGATCACATGGATAAGCCAGAAGGCTTTTGGAACAGTGCTTTGTGGACGGATGAGACCAAAATCGATTTCTTTGGTTTAAATGAGAAACGTTGCTTGGAGAAAGGAAAACACTGCATTCCAGTATAAAAACCTTATCCCATCTATGAAACATGTTGGTGGTAGTATCATGGTTTGGGTCTGTTTGGCTGCATCTGGGCCTGTACAGTTTGCCATCATTGATGGAACAATGAACTCTGAATTATCCCAGTGAATTCTAAAAGAAAATATCAGGACATCTATCTGTGAGCTGAAACCTAAGAGAATCTGAGTCATGCAGCAAGACAACAACCCTAAGCACACATGCCATTCTACCAAAGAATGGTTAAAGAAGAGTAAAACTGACCAAGTCAAAATCCTGAACTTTGTCCTATAGAATTGTTGTGGCAGGACCTGAAGCAAGCAGTTCATGGGAGAAAACAACCAACAGTTACCAGAAATGTTTAGTTGCAGTTATTGCTGCATAAGGGGGTCAGACCAGATAATGAAAGCAAAGGTTCACACACTTTTGCCAATCACAGAGATGTAATATTGGATCATTTTCCTTAATAAATAAATGACTAAGTCTATTTTTTTTTTCTAATTCGTTTATTTTGGTTCTCTTTATCTACTATTAGGACTTTTGTGAAAATGTGATGAAGTTTTAGGTCAAAATTATGCAGAAATATAGAAAATTCTAAAGGGTTCACAAACTTTCAAGCACCACCGTACAAGCCATTAGCTCATGCTACACTGTATGCAGTGTAATGTTTAGCTATACGTAGCTCGTGAGTAAAAAGCATTTGAGATTCAGCCTGAGATTTTCATGCACTTCTTTAACCCAAAAATACCTTCTCTAAGACATATGACAGACAGGCTTTCAGACAGCTTTCACAGTGTGTTGATGCAATGTGCCTTCAAACTGAAAGACAGAGCTATACAGAGAGGAAAATAATTATGCTAACTTTCACAAGAACAAAGAAGAGGGTTATGGGATCATGTGGCATTAACTTCATTCATCTAATTCAGCTAATTCAAAACTTATACATGTGATAAATTGATCTGTTACAGAGAAATTTGCTAAAATGGTGTCAATCACACATCGCAAACCTTCCACGAGGCTTTGAGCTGGCTGACAGCGCATTCACAGCTGATGCTGAATACATTATTTCTGAGTTATTAGCTCTCAGATGCTGCTTGACATGACAGGATTGTCAAAAATTGCTCCGTTAATGTCAGTCTTTATCTCTCTCCCTGCCTAGCTTATGCATTTTCCTGAAACTTTTCAATTCTCGCTTTTCATTTCCCACTACTGATGAGCTGGCATGGCTTCCCCTTCACTTAATATGTCAGGCCTGAAATCCCTCAGTGTGGCTCAGTGCTGTGCAAAAGTCTTAAGGCTACCTTCTTAAGGCACAGCACATAGCATCTCATACTAGAGAGTATAAAGTGCAGCAAGAATGCATTGCAGTGAGAGCGCCAGTAAAACAAGCTCAGTTTCATTTTACACTCTATTTGTGTAGATTTAATGGAATAATACATTCAACACAATCTGGTGAATTTATCACATTTGGTATCAGCTAACTAACTCCTCGAGGGACGAGGTGAGGTTATGATGGGACTCAGGTACTAACATTAGTTGAAGTAGCAAATGATTCTGTTGTTAATTAAAGTCTGTTTATGATTCCTGCCCTCATGTTTGATGGTGCCGTTGATTTTACCAAGGGGAGATTATCATTGACCCTACCACAGACCAAATAATTATATGATTCTGTCACGTGGCCCTCCGGCTCAGACTCGCACTCGGACTCCATTTCCCAGAATCCTCAATCCTCCTATCACTGTTCATAATCACCAGAGTACTGATATGTTGAACCTATTTTCTATGACCATCTATTCAGGCTACATCAGTTTAGCCCCGACCACTCACACAGAAGTTATAAGGAGGCCAGAATTCATTTACATATATCAGTCTTAAAGGCATAACAACAAAAATAGCCTGTAGAGAGAAAATGGTCCTGTTTTTGGTACATAAAACAACAAAAATAAATAAATAAAATACAGGAAAAATGTAGGATATGGGCCCTTTTATATAAAAGGTAGTGATTTTATGTATGTCAATGTACAGTTACCACTAATACCTACTTTAACCAATTCATTAATGCTGAGATGAATGGTTTTAGACAATTTGCTTAAGAGCCTTAGGCTTTTGCACAGCACTGTACATCTAGCTAATTGCTAAGGTGGCTAATCTGTCAAAGTAATACTGAGACTATACTGGATCTTCCAAAGAGCAGCAGTTTCATTTGCTAACAGTAGACAACTGCACTGGCTGCTGCTGTCATTGTTATTTTTGCGTTAAAACTGAGGTGCATATGCAGATTTATTGGTCTTCTGCGGGTGGAGAAGGGCTTGAGATTGATTGAATTTGACTTCTTTAAATCCCAGGCTTATTACATAATAAGGCTTATTTTTTCAGTAACTACAGGAATTTCAATGCAAACTGGCTGAGCTATTCTTAGATTATAGAAGTGTGTAATAAAACTTGGGGCCCGCAGGTGGGCCCTGGCCTTTTAAGGTGTTAACTGCATCTTACCTCTGATTATTTAAGTGCCTGTTATCGACAGTGAGTGAAGAGTCTTTTGGGGCGGTGATTACTCTGAATGATGGGCAGATTCTTGGCTCACCTGACATTGCAGGACTGAGACTCTTTGCTGATTTTGTGGAACCAGGAGGCCTGGGCCCGTCGGCTCTCTCCACCTGTGATGACCCCGTCTTTATCCTGGTCCAGGCTCTGGAAGATGGCCCGCGCTCTGTCACGCTCTTTAGCCGTTAGCAGACGCACCAGCGAGTTCTGGAGACAAAACCATAAATTAGAGCTAGACCACAGATGGTTTGACAATCATTATCAAAATGTTGGCCTTACAGTCATTTGCAAACGTTTGAACACCCTTGGACAAATGACATGATGTTGATTATCTAAGTGAAAATAAGTTAACACATCCTCTACAGGGAACATGCTTAAATATGGCATTTTCCTGCAGATTTTAGTGCATGAGTTTTATTTATTTGCTGAGTTTTAACACATTGGAAAAAGAATTAACATAAAATATAAAATGTGCATAACTTCTGCACTGGCCACATTTTATGTTTTATTTTTCCCCAATAAGTTAAATTCAGCAAATAAACAGTAATTGTGCATTAAAGTGTGCAGAAATGTGTTCTGTGTAGAGGATGTGTTCACTTAGGCAGGTAAAAGCAACCCAAGCCAATCTTTTTCTTTATATTTGACACAGGAGTGTTATCTGTGTGTCAGTGTGAACAGCAAAAAACGCACTGAATCTGACAATTTAAATTCCGATTTGAGACGCTTTCATATGTGGTACTGAAATCCGACACGTATCTGATATGTGGCAGTGTGACTCAGTCTGAACGGCCAGATCAGAATTCATGCTACATTTATGCCAATTCAACTCGACATTTGTGATACTTTCGAGCTGCTGAGACCTCATAAACATTTAGGCTGATGTTTCTGTACCAAAAAATTAGAAGAGACTTCTCCAAAACCCCTCCATGTTCGAAGAGATTTTGAAAGAAATGCCGTAAGAGAACAAGGCTGCAGCGTCAAAGAACAGTTAAAAGCTTGAAAACAAAGTTTAAAGAATGCGAGGACATGAACCAAAGAAGTGACCGTGACTTTTTACAGCTAGCTCAAACACATTCTGGGTGATGAGCCCAGCTGTCAGTTAATGAAGCTTCATGATGGCTCCTGTGATGGTGGCAAAGATGAAACTAAACCCTCTGGGAGCGAGTGGAGTTCGTTGGCAGTTATGATTTTTTACCTCTGAATGAGCCACAGAAAGCAATGTGAAGCCCTGTTCTTTTGTGTATGCAGGTCAGTTTAGGAGCGTGATCTGTCTAATGCAAATAATGTCGCATTAGACAGATGACGGATTACAGGTCACATTTAAAAGATAATGTGAACAGCCACACAAAAAAATCAGATTTGGTGAGAAAATCAGATTTGGGCCACGTTTACCTGCTGTGTGAACGTAGCTTTTTTATAGTTAAATAAGCAACAAAACATGTCATTTGACCAGGGGTGCCCAAACTTTTGCACATGAGAGCACATCTCTGATTGTGTATGTATTTATTAGTCAGTATGATTATTAAAGACTATGTCACAGTAAATCAAATTAAAACTGTATAAAATGCTGTTTTTGCTAATGATTTTAACGTTGCAAATTCACTATGACAGGTTTCAGTGAATTTGGAGGCTGTGAACATAAAGCTTACTATATCTAGACTTACGCAGACAAAACATGTCCCATGTGAACTCCCCTTTAAGGGGTTACAGGATTCCAGAGTGGTTCTTAGCAAGGACAAATAGAATTTTAATTAAAACATATCTTTTACATTCCAAAAATAGTTCTTTATCCTGTGATTTTTTTCTTTTAGGGGCTAAAATGTTTTTTCTGCGTCACTCCAAAATAAAACCTTTGTAAGACCTTTGTTTTTAAAACTACACCTTTAAAAAAAAGATAGTTCTTCAAGGGTTCTTTAGTAAAGAAAATGGCTCCATATAGAACTATGAACACTCAAAGAACCCTTTGCATGATTAAGGGTTCTTTGCACCATGAAAGAGTTCTTCATATTGATGGAGAGTGTGTTTTATATAGTTCCATATAGAACCTTTTTGAAAAGGGTTCTGTATAGCACCATTAAGTGTTCTTCTATTGTTACAGGCTTGACTTAACATGTAACAACCGAAGAACCCATGTACCCGGACCCTCATTACCTCTGTTCGAAATTTCTGCAGTACTGACAGGGACTCATGATACAGGAAGTCTGACCACTCTATTTGACCCTTCTTCTCCGGGTCAAGGGCAGCGAACTGGGCCAGAACCTCCTCCTCCTGCTCATCCGTCAGATCCTTCTCAAACAGCTGCTTCGACACAAAGTGCCTATACTGGAGGAGCTCATCTGAGACGAGGCAGGATTCTGAAATGCAGCGACAGAGCACAAGAACCTCAGCCATCATCAGACACAAAGCTAACTGACCTATCTAGGCTTTGCTAACAAATGCATTTTTAAGAGCTCCTACTGCGAAATTGAACAAGCTGGTAAAAATCCTTTTCAATCTTATTAGAAACTCCAGTGCACGACTCTTTTCAGAATATGTGAATGTATGATTAAATCCAAGTGATAGAGATTTGATACAAATTATTGTTGATTTTGTGAAGGAAAACAGTAAACACATTTAAATGCACCATTTTTTCTGAAAATGTTTCAAGCTTAATGTGCCATACTTATTCATAACATAACATAATCTTATTTTATGTTTTATTGTTTCCTAGTATGTTAAATTCAGGAAAAAAGCTGTAATTGTGCATTAAAATGTGCTTATTTTCAACAATATCAACAATACATGGAATATTACCAGGGAGCCAAAACTTTTCCACATGACTGATGTTAGCATGATGGCAAAATCACTGAAGCTTTTGAATCTGGAATCTTAATGTTATGTTGCGACCCTATATAAACACTGGAATGACCCAAAGTACATGGGTGTTTTTCAGTGGTGAACTGAGACTGTTAGAGCTAGTGCTTTAGTTCAATACATAAAAGTCAAAACTCAAGGAAAAAAACACCTCTAAGATAATGCTGATTTCTAGCTAACTCTAGCGCTAAGCTAACAACAATTCACATGAACATTTTTTGGGCACACTAGATTTAACGTGGACATCTAAAGGTTGTAAAGACATTTTGTACGTAATTTGAAGCTTCTAACAGACATTATCAGACATTGGACTTTGCATGTATCTGTTTTACAGTGACTCTTTCAGTAAAGAGTGCCATAAAGCTGCTGCTACTGCTTTCCATTCCTAACAACTGACCAAAACCTGCTTAGACCATGGCTCATTTTCAAAGTCAGCGATCACTCCCAAATCTCTCTTTCTCTTTTTCTCTCTGTCTCTCATTTCTGGAGTTCGCTGACTGACACATAGCAGACTAATGGAACACTCAGCACTCTCGGCCCAGATCGGACCACCAGGGTCACAAAGAGCTCTGTGCTTGAGAAGCGAGATGGGGTCCGGTTCCAAAGACGAAACGTGCCTAAAGACACAAAGTCCACACTACATTAAAAATCAGAAAGGGAAACACTTTGATTAACTTCCAGTTACTACATGAACACAAGCTACATTCCAAACAGCATGTACTTTGTAGACAGGCTGAGCCAATGAGAACCCAGTAATCTTTAGATGTCTGTTGAGCCATTATGTTTCAGTGGGATCCTATTCATTTTCCTCTTAAAGGAATAATCCAGCATTGTCAACCTAATCTCTTTCTGATGCAGCTATAGTAGACAACTAGTTACCACTAGAACTATCTAGAACTTCCAGATGAACTAGAGTTGTCACGCTTCCCAGCTCTTAGACAAACTTGAATTCTCTTACGTTACATCAGCGTTACAAGAGTGCAGTTTTTTCTCACAACACGGGTCCCACTGTAAATCAAAATATGATGGGTTGATTCTTCTGTCACGTCTTTATTAGACTGGTGGTTAATCTAGCTTGGCTGCTGCAGTAGATACCATAGAGAAAAACCCACAATTCTCAAATACCATAGAAAAAGAATCCTGATTGAATCATTTCCTATTGGTGATTTAATATTCTACTGATTTGTTTCTGAACTTAAAAACAAAATAAGAGTATTACTGCAATATATGCAGAGTTTTTTTATCTTACAGAAATTTATTGGCCTTCTCTGAAGGCCTAAAATACCCTGAGGGCTCCCTACTGGTGTTCTGACAAAACTAGCTGTGTGCTGCAGTTTCTCATTAAGTTGAATGGGATTCTGACCAACGTTTTGCAAACCTTGTCTAACTTGGCAACAGTCGCTATGAAAGGAGACATTTCTGAGCAGAGAATGAACAGGTCAACAAGCCACCACACTGATTTATGAATGATGGTTTTAAGTTTTTAATATGTTAAAACCATCTGAGGTGCGCGTTTTTATGCTGAGTCACAGAAGGGTGATTTAAACTGTACATAAATGTGGACATACCTGGAATGATTTTGCATTGCTTGAATGTTTCCATCAGGCTGTACATTTCTTCTTCAGTCAGAAGCAGGTTCACATTGTCCTGAAGTGGAGAGTGGAGGAAAAGGCTTTTAGAAGGCATATGATGTACATTTAAATGATTATGAGTTATTTTCTGAAGAAAAGTTAATGTAATTGGTTAACATCATTATTATTTATTATTACTGTCACTACGGTTAGTCTTATTTGATGTAAAAATATAAACAAATAGGGCTGTCAAATTATTAAAACAATTAATCATGACTATTACGTCATTCTTTGTAGTTAATCATGATTATTCTCTTTCTGCAGACTCTCTAGGGGCCAATCCGCTGGATAATTTTGATTATTGTACTCAAATAAAATGTCTTCCCGCAAAACTCTGCTATCAGATGAACTAGGACACTGTTGTCGCTCTGTGTGTTGAAGAATCCAAACCCACCAAAACCAGAGAGCAGCCTCATGTCTGGGGAACTGAATCTTTATTTCTTGCATGCAGGTACCAGACATTAGACAGCCCGTTAAACAATGGATGGTCACAATTATATAGGCTGGACTGATGCCAAGATTATGCCCAGCCTATACATGAGCAGTGACAGACATGACCATGTAGGGATAAACCAAAATAGGCAGAACAGAATGAGTATAATCACATCACATGCATGGTACAACACAGACAATACTGAATATAATAACATATAACACAGCACTAAACACATTACAGAGCAGTACATTCCTTCAGTGTTACACAGCTTTTATAACACTTTTTAATAAGACCTTTATAAATGTTGATGTGCTTGGTCACCTGCAAAGACGAAAATTCATTTTACAGTTTCATAAATCATACACATATCCATCTTTATATATTTCATCAACATTATAAAAAAAAAATGGGATAGTGTAACCCTCTGGGGTCTGAGGGCAGATTCTCAATTTGTGCGTATCTTCTTAAATTCTCCTTTAAAGGCTCTTGCATTTGACATAATTCTAATATATTTCATATCAAAAAGCAAAGTTATCTTCATCACTACTTTCCAAAACCGCTGCAGCAACTTCAGCAGCTGTAAACTCTCTGCACATCATTTCACATGTGCCTCCGATGTGGACTGAGTGAATAATGAAGGGTTTCCGGCGTGATGTGTCAGTCCTTAGTGATTTCCTCAGTATCCATTGGTCAGTTTTGCTCAGATTGAAGATGGACACATGAATCCAGTAGTTCCAAATGGTGAGAGGCAGATGACGTGTATCTCATCCCCTCTTCATAGCCTCATAACTCCGGATGTGAGTCACATACGATCTCGTGGTGAGATGGAATGGAAAGGGCGACTCTACAGATTCAGGAAATGTTTGCACTGTATTTTTGTGCTGTATTATCACAAAGATAGATCCTTTTAAAAGCAGTGCATTTTGTTATAGCTATATGAGTGCACAAAATTTATTACTTTCAAAACTTCACTAACAGCACTGTCATCATGTAAACACAGAACCTGAACATGAGAATTTCCACAGAGTAAATACTGTATTAAATTTTCATGTCCAAAGTCCAGTGAGAGCAACACTGGCTGCATGTTTCAAATAGAAGTCAACGATATGGCAAAAAAGTAATAATGCTTCAAGACGTTTTCACAGTACATGATATGTCACAATATTTATATTTTTCTGATAGTTGGAGCGAAAACTATAAATACAGTGATTTGTATTCAACAATTTACTACCTGTGCTGACCTAAATCCAACTAATAAAAGAAATAACTATGCTCTCTTTGCAATCAAAGATGGAGTTTGTAAATGTTTTTTTTAATAAGGATGATATTTGCAATATGCTTAGAAAAGCAAATTCTGACAATTTGTGATGTATTTTATTATGGTAACAATAAATAGTAGGTCCAACCATATTCTATCACAGCAACATTCAGCGCACTGCAGTTGGGCTTTAGCCTGCACTGCTGTCAACAGTTCAGAGGATCAAATTAGTAAAATGTATTAACGATGTTAGAAAAGTGGTGTTAATAATTTAGCATGTTTACAGCCCTAATCCAAATCAAACAAACATTTCAAATCAACCTCTGGCTTTCCTCACAAGCCAGTGAGTGTGTTTATTTGCAGTTCACATCATATCCTAATCAGACTTCTGCAGTTATCTGATTATTCAAATGGTCATGTAAACAGCATACTCTGCTTTCTTAGATCGGAGTAAAGTCTAGAAATCAGATAAAGAGAGCAGGATTTTCGCTCAGTAATTCTCAGATTCTCAGTGCATGTTTATACTTTGATTTCTTTCATATTTCTCAGTCTGCACATGTGCAAAAACAGACTGCTGTACTGGAAATAAGCAGGCAGCACTGACACGGGACAGCAACCTAACACTTTTGGAGTGACGCTGAAACCAACTACATGCTTAATGAAATGAAGGATTTAAATATTCTTCATCTTCTAGATGATGTACGTTCCAGTTGCAAAGCAGAAATCTGATTACTTCCTGACTGATGTAGACCCCGAGTTTCCCCATTATCTGATTACCCAAGGGCATGTAAACACACTAAACCAGTTACAGACAAAATCTGATTTTCTGCCATTATTGACCGATTGAGTGCATGTAAATGCACAGAGTGTTTACTCATACCCGTCCTGGTGGACTTTCCCTGCACTTTTTCCCATCTCAACTCACCTGCTTCAACTTTTCAGATAATTAATAGCCATTGAGGAGTTTAACATGAGTCTGTCGGAGCTGGGAGGCAGAAAAAAGTACAGGACATTGTCTGTATTTAGGAACCAAACATGGAAAAACCATCATGAACTTGCAAGCTATTTTGAAAAGGTTAGAAATAAGATTTTGTTTTAAACAAAAAATAATGAATTAATCATCCTTTTATGAAGCTAATTTTAACAAGCTTTTATAAGGTAATTACCTTAAGCTATTGTATCATTGTATGTAGGCCTCACCTCTCTCTCTCCTTCTCTCTCTCTCTCTTTTGCTCTCTCTGAAAGAGGTGGTTGAATATGACATGAAGAGAGAGGATAATAATCACGCTGGCTAATTGGACTCTTAAAAAGGCCTGATGAGTTTGCGGTGTGTGGAGGAAGACGCTCTTCAACATCAAATGCAGGCAGGTCCCTTTGATATCAAAAGCTCATCCTCAGCCACACTGCTCGTTTCACTAACCACTGGCCTTCAAACGGAAGCTTTTAAAAGCCGTTAGGGCCGGGGGCGACTGAGATCCGCGTTTTTATCGGCTCTGCCCAGCCCCGTCTTAACAGTGGGGACAGAAGCGGGAGGGGAAGACCCTCAGGGCATTGAATCATCGTACACTTAAATGCAGAGAGAAACCCTGACATGATCTGGTCCAGTAGGGTTGAAATATGAAAGATTGTGGTAGCGTAGCACTGGCAAAGACTAAAAACAGAAACTGATTAGCTTTTATAAAGTAACAAAACATTATTATAAACAGTGTTCTTTAGCACAGCACCGTATCCTTCAGCCTCAGCAGTTTGTCATAATTCATGATTTCATAGTTTTTGTTTTCATTCATCCAGGACAATCAATGTTCTCTCATTACAATCCCCAGCATGCATCACACAAACGCATCATACAACCATTGGGAATCCCTGTGGTGTCAACCAATCCTGACTTCTAGCCTAGCCACTGAGCTACAGGCGAATAAATACAACCAAGCAAGCATTAGCGCAACTCTTACCTCAGTCGTCGAAACAAAATCATAAAGAAAACAATCTTTGTTTAATACCAAATGAGAGTGGGACATCAAAATAGCCAATAGTAACCTTGCTAACTGTTGCTTTTAGCCTGCTGTCCTCCTCATCTTGTCATTTCAGTGGTTTGAGTAATTTATTCTCTACATCGTAATGATGATTTTAAGACAGTTACTATAGTTCTAGGGCTGCAATATTATAGGGCTATATAGGGCTGTTCGACTGCAAAAAATGTTGTACATTTCTGAAAAAATAATAGCTCATATAGAATCTGATTTGACAGCCTGCAGTGGGAAAATACAAATTTTTTGAAGGTTAAGCACTTACTGTGATTAATACTCTGTCAAAAACACCACAGAAAAAAGTACATTTTTAAAGAGTTTTGAGGCCTAAAATGAACACTATTCATAGAAGGTGCCAAAAATATATTTCAGAGCTAAAAGCAGCAGTGGCAGCCATCTTAAAGCCTGAATTTTGTCTGTAGCTTTGCTAGATACATTTTTATAAACCTCATAAGCAAGTCTATTTGAGATGGCGTAAAAGTTTGAGGCCAGCATGTGATGATTTAGGCATGAGGTTAGCAAGATGCTAATTTCTGGAGTGCAAGCTTTCAGTACTTGTTAGCTACATTAGAAGAAGGAAACTTCAGACACCAATCATGTCTTAGCTGATCAACTACATTTGCAGTAACAGGGGAAAATGTGTGAAACTTGGTTTTTCTTTGCCAAACTATTATTTAGGGAGTTTTCCCGCTGCCTGGGGAGAGGTGGCTGTGCAGGTATCAGACAGATTCCTGAATTGCAAAGGAATACTTCATCCAAACAACACCAATAGCAGTCACTAGCAATACTTCTGTCTTGGTTAGACTATGTTAGTTTGTCCTTATTCCCTTTCATTTATTGTTAGCCATGTTAGCATTTTAGAGTAGCATTTCTGGAGTTAAAGAGTACACTCTAAAAAAGATGGTTCCTCAAAGGTTCTTTAATAAAGAAAATGGTTCTATATTGAACCATGAACACTCATAGAACCCTTTGCATGATTAAATGGTTCTTTGCATCATAAAAATGGTTATTCAGATTGATGGAAAATTGTGCTGTAGATTGTCCAATACAGAACCTTTTTGAAAAGGGTTCTATATAGCACCGTCTTTTACTGTAACAAATCTTGCAACAACAGAGGAACCCTATTTGGTGCTATATAGAACCCTTTTCAAAAGAGGTTCCATATAGAACCATCTACAGCACATTCTCTAGCAATCTGAAGAGCTTTTCCATGGCAGAAAGATCTCTTAATCATGCAAAGGGTTCTTTGAGTGTTCATGGTTCTATATAGAACCATTTTCTTTATTAAAGAACCC